ATAGTGATCTGCAGATGGTTGCCACTTGTGCTAGGCTTGGAGGTGCTTGGGAGAGGCTAAGCTGCTAACCGAGGCTGGCTGCCACTTCAGGCCACTTAGCAAGAGGTATGGGGCACACTGAGGCCAGTTGCTGCTTGTTTGGGGTTTGTGAACTTTGGAGAGATTTTAGAAGAGTCCAAATCATGACCCAAGACAGGTCGTTTGTATGGAAAAGACACTGGAAATGGCTTGGGTGGGCTCACAAGTTAGGTGGGACGGAGTCTCAGGAAATCACAAGGGCAGGGCCAACGGTGTTAGTTAGGTTGATGGAGACTCAGCTACAGCAACCACCTGTGTGTGCAGGTTGGGTTGGGGGAGGGCTCAGCAAAGGGAAGTGGCATCTACTCGTACTTTTGTCTGGGAGAAAGCTGCTCCTCCAGTCCTCACCCTGAAGCTAGACAACTCAGTTCCTCCCCATATGTCCCTGACACCTTTTGAGCTGCTGCCACAGTGCTGGAGCTCATAGTGACTGAGTCCATCAGCAAGTAAGTCTGTGTGCAGGCCCTTTAAGAGGAATTCATGGGACTCCAGCAGCCTTTTACCTCACTCAGCCACAATTTCTGCTGGTTTTCACAGCTAGAAGATATGGGGACTTCTCTTCCTAACACTGGAACCCTGGACTGGGGAGCCTGGTGTGGTTCTGAGACCCGTTGCTCTTCAAGGGGGACTTCAAGAGCTGAGATATCCCTCCTTATTTTTATCTGCTACATGTGGGTGTGGGACTAGCCAGGTCAGCATCTCCACCCCTCCTACCAGTCTCCACGTGGCTTCTTCTGTATGTTCTTAGTTATAGGTCTTCTGTTCAGCTTGTCTTCAGGCGGTTATCAATGATGATTGCTCTGTAGTTTAGTTGTAATTTTGATGTGGTCATGGGAGAAGGGGAGCACAGCATTTACCTACTCCACCATCTTGAGCAGAAGTCCCACAGTTACTGTGTTTAACAGCACATTAAGGTTGCGTTAAATCCAGCCAGTAAATTGACTTTTTTTTTCTCTTTCAATCATTAATGATAAACCTGTTATTGAAAACAATCTGAAATTACTTGCACAACTTGCATGAGCTAATATTTTAATTGCTTGAATAGGGCCTTCATCACATCATATCCATCATCTTTGTTTGTGTCAATATAACATATATTTTCAAACTCCAAAAAACTGACTATGAAGTTAAAGAATAATAGAAATTTGGATTGGCCATCAGCTTTACAACACAGAAGTCATGTCCAGTTTGAGAAATCCTGAACAAGTCACTTTCTCTTGTCCTCAGCAGCAAGTTCAAATTTGGAGATCTTAATTATTCCCTTTGTTTTACTTTTTGCTCTTGGATACAATTGCAGCTAATTACTGAACAACTTGAATGCACATCACACATTTGTTATTTGTTCAAATGAAATGAATGATAATGTCCCAAATTTTAATGAGTCTGTTCAGTTACAAAGATGCCACATAAGAGTCAGGAAACACGATTCCAGGTCCCTCACATTTACTCTCCTGCTGGCTAGAGGGCCACTGTATAACATGTGCTTCACTGGGAACCACCTGGTTTCATTTTCATCTAAATAGATTTTGATGTCTCTGAACCATTTATCAGAGTGCCTGGTAGAGAAGCAATGACCGCACTGCATCCTTACTGCAGTGAAATGGAAACTGTGCCTAGCAGAGTGTCTTTAGCACATTATACACGCTGTGTGAATGCTTGTTGAATAAATGAACAAACTTGAAATCTACTGGAGTATATTTCACAGTTCATTCTATTTATTGTACATACATTAATCCTCATTGAGGATATGTGTTTAATATCTACTCAGGATTTGTTTTAATCTGATATGATAAGACATGTGACATGGAAAGGACTTACGAAGGAAGAATTTTATACTTACAGGTCCCTAGAAGCAAGGATCACAGCACGCCTTGTAGGGCCACTTGGGAAGCACCAGGGTCAGTTAAGAGGCAGAAGGAATGAGAGAAAGAGTGGGCGAGAAACTATACAGTAGTTTTCACAGGGAGGAACTGGCCAGGCAGAATAAGCAGGCTTAGATTCGCTAGTGTGAATAATTTCAGCAGGAACTTGGCATAGGGGCTGTCCTGAGTTCTCTGGTATCTCTAGAAAGTAGGTAAACCTGGGAGGGGCAGTTTCTCCCCAGTCAGCAAGGACCCAGAGGCCAGAGTGTTAAGAAGACAGTAATTAAGAAAATATGGTTAATATAGAATGGGTTCAGGCATTCTTACACTTCTTTTTCTTTTCTTCCTTCTTCAACTAAGGTGAACTTGATCTAATTAGGAGAATCAAGATTCAGAAGTCCAAAAAACCAAACACGTAAGTAGATTTTGAGTCATTTCTGTTTGGATATGTTATACATTCAAGTCTCAAACTTATCTTTGGGCTTAGGTTGTATTTTCAGCCATTTTATTCATTGCTATACTGTAGTGAGGCTAGCAGTCACTGAATAAGGTAATTTTTTTAAAAAAGATTTTATTGGGGAATTGAGGGAGGGGAACAGCGTTGAGGAATCGGGGAAGGGGAACAGACAAATTGCTGTCCTTTTGTTCTTCAGTCTAGTTGTGGAGGACGTCGCTTCACCGGCCCATGTTGGTGTTATCATTGCGCTCTTCTCCGGTGAGGCAGTCGCTCGCCAGCCACTGGACGCTGCTCACTGTGGCTCATGGCAGCTCATGAAAGCTCACGCCCGCTGCCTGCCAGTCCCACTGCAGCCTATGCTGTCGCAGGTGACTCATGGCAGCCCAGCTCCAGGTCGAGCTGTTATTCACCATCTTAGCAGTAGGGGGCGCAGCATCACTGGCCCTCATGTGGGATCTGACCCGGGCCCTGCTGCTCAGAAGTGGCTCTCCCAAGCCAACTCCTAACCAACGCACCACTCGGTCGGCCCTGAATAAGGTAATTTTTAAAATGCATTGAAAAGATGGATTATTAAAAAGAGTATTGATTATATTCCCCAGACTGTCTTTTCTATCCCTGTTACTTTGTGAGGGGTGAAAAGGATAACTATTGCATTGTTCTGTACATCTAAAACTGGAAGAAAAAAAAAGAGTATTAAATATTTGTCTCAACTTGATAATCTCACATATTGTGAAATGCACAACCTAGGTCCTAATAGCCAACACAGAACTGTAATTAGAAGTCAGCCAGCCCAAGTTTTAATCCTATTTCCAACCCTTATTAACTATGTGGCTTTGGAGTGCTTATTTAGCTTCGCCAAGTCTTATTTTATCACCTGTAAAATGGGTGCTATAATGAAAGTACCTATCAAACAATTTGTTGTGAGAACTGAGTGTGATGTTGATAAAGTGCTTAGAAAATACCTGGCATATACAATGATCAATAGATTAATTTACTGTTATATGTATATGTTATACATATAATCACTATATTAGTGATTCTTATAACGTATACCTATGGATTGACTATGAGACCAGTTTTGTTATAAAGGTAAAAGTCGTTCATGGAATTAATTCTGCTGTTGAATATACATTGTACTTGCGATAGTAATTGTAGTAAAGTGCGACTGCTAGCAAAAGATACACTTTTTTAAAGACATGATATTTGGGAGAGTGGCATAGACTGCATTCTTCTGATTTGTTCATTAATTTTTTTTTCCACTTTAAAGTCTTTAAATGCCTAATTTTCCATCATCAAAAATCTCTTCTTAAACAAAATGCTGGCTAATTCCTTGAATAATTTTTACGTTAAAAAATAGCACAGAGGGCCGGCCAAGTGGCGCAATGGTTAAGAACCGGCTTGGGATGCCAGAGGGCCCCGGTTCAGATCCCATATATGAGGGCCAGTGACACTGCCCTCCACAGCTAAGATGCTAAACAGCAGCTCAACCTGGAGCTGGGCTACTGTGAGTTGCCGGCAACGGCATAGGCTGCAGCCCCTGTGGCAGTGGGTTGCCATGGGCTACCGTGTGTAGCCCGCAGCCAGCGTGAGCGGCCAGCAGCCAGCGTGAGCGGCCAGCAGCAGCAGTGAGGGGCCGTCCAGATGCCGGTGACTGATCTGCCTCGCCCGGGAAGAGCGCAATGATGGTGCCAAATTGGGCCAGTGAAGCAACGTCCTCCACAACTAGACTGAAGAACAAAACGACAACAACTTGTCTGTTCCCCTTCCCCCAGTTTCCCAGCACTGTTCCCATCCCCCCAATTCCCCAATAAAAATCTTTGAAAAAAAATAGCACAGAGTTCTAAACTCTAACTTTTCCAATTCATGATAAATGAACTAATTGTTTTCCCCTGGGTGTCACACCCACTGGGTTAGTCACAATGAACTATGTTAAGGATGTTATTCACATTTTTTAAACACTAGCCATTCTGACCCACCCAGTTCAGCTTCAATTTTAGGTGCAATTAGGTTTAATTTTATTTTATTCCACGGAAGAAAAATAAGAAACCCCTAATACTTAGAAGTTGTGCAAAATAATATATATAACGTCATGTTTTTAAGTGTGGAAAGTGCTTCATAGAGCATAGACTGGCATTGAAGTTTATTATTATGCAGGAGACCTCTTTTATTGTGATTCAGTGTAATGCTTAATCCTATCAGCGCGTTGCAAAGAACAACCTTGGAAGTGTATGATGGCACCACAATGAAATTTTAAAGGGGCCTAATGAATTGAAATGACCTCGATAATATACTGATTGAATCAATTAGTCAGCTACCTTAATGCTGATTTTAGTCTTCTATGAATAATCCTCAGACCAAAGTGAACTTGGATAACTCTGGGTGGAGAAACCCCCTGGGTGCATCTAGTGTGAAAAGGATCCCCCCAGTGGATCTCTCTGTTCTGTTTCTACGACTCAGCACCATAAGTCATAAGCCTGCTCATAGAACACACAGCTACTGCTGCCTTTTGCCCGTGTTTCAAAATGTCTAGGAAAGTCTTGTAGGGAAATACAAGCACTGAAAGCTGGGCAACCTCTAATTTCAACTGAGCAATTTATTCATTCAGTATTTTGTTAAGTGACTAGAATGGGCAATGCCATGCTGATGGCTGGGATACAGCAATGAGTAAGAAAGACAAAGTTTCGTCCTCGTACACCTTACATTTGATTAGAGAATACAGGCATTAAATAGCTAATCATGACATGAATTTTTTCATTGTCATGGTTTTCTCCTAGAACTCCAGGGTACAGTTCAGAGTGGGAGGGGAGAAACAGAACTTTCAAAAAATAGATGGAATGTGAATGGAGTGGGCATATGCTCATTACCAGGAGAGAGACTGAATTCATCCTGTGGAAAGAGAGAAAGTAAAGAGAGAAAAAGGGAGAGAGGCAGGGAGGGAGGGAGGGAAAAGAAGAGGTAGGGAGAGAAAAAAGAGAGAGAGAAGGAAGGAAGAAAGGAAGGGAGGGAGGAAGGGAGAGAGAAAGGAAGGAGGGAGAGAGAGGGTCTTCAAAACCTGACTTGAATTCTTGGATCCAGCTGTTTTGGATTCAGCTCCACACTTGTATTTCCAAGTTAAGACAATAAATTCCTCTTTTGTGTGTGAATGGACATACGTTTGTGTTAGCTTCTTATTATTTGAAGCTATAAGAGTCCTGGCTAACATGGCTTTTTGGTATTGGTATAAAGCTGATCATCTTCTTGAATAGCAAAGGAGAAAAACATTGTAATGTTTCAGAAGGGGAGCAAGTCATGGCATCATGAGATTTAATCATGGGCTTGTTGAACGTTAGAGTTGGAAGAGATTGGCGAGACAGAGCTTCCAATAAGGCAGAATAACCCACTGACCACTCCTGTCAGAGGTAAACTAGTCTCTAATCCAGTGGTCCTTAATAGTAATGACACTGGCCCTGGGGGACATTCTGGAAGAATGTCGGGCCTGTTTGGCTTGTCATAATAATTTATGGGGTCTACTGACATTAGGAAGGGGCAAGGGATGCTAAGCATGCTGCAATGTATGGGAGTCCCACCGTAAAGAATTACCCTTCAGCTTACAAGATTTGGGGATGTCCAGCAGGATATTGCTGTAGATTAAAAGCCTGTTTAGGGCTGGCCAAGTGGCTCAGTTGGTTAAGAGCATGAGCTCTGAGCAACAGGGTTGCCGGTTCGATTCCCACATAGGCCAGTGAGCTGCGCCCAAGCTGAGCTGCCCTGAGCTGCCAACAGGTGGCAGGATGGCTCAGCTGGTGAGAGCACATGCTTCTAACAGCAAGGTTTCCGGTTGGACTTCTGCATGGGATGGTGGGCTATGCCCACCTGCAACTAAGATTGAAAACGTCACCTTGAGCTGAGCGGCCATGGGCAGACTGATGGTGACTGGATTTGGAGCTGAGCTAGCTGCACCCTCCACAACTAAGATTAAAGGACAACAACTTGGCTGTTCCTCTTCCCCAATTCCCCAATAAAAAAATCTGGTTTTTTTTTTTTTTTTTAAAATGCCTGTTTATCGGAACCTACAACCTAACTCCGTTTTTCATATTAAACACAAAATGTTTTTGCAAGCTTTCAATATGCAGTGAATTTTCCAAGTACACAACTACCATGCAAATCAAGGTAAATTGTACTTTGTTTTATTCAGAATTTCATGAAGAGTTACTTTCCAGTGTTGGAAAGGTCACATCACTGACATCAAAAGCAGTGGTGGTACTGGCATGACTGGTTCAACACCCCTGCATCAGCACGTGCCTGGAGGTGTTGTGTTACTGATGATTTGCTGGGCTCTGGTCTTCCAGAGTCACGCTCTAGCACGTACATATTGAGATATCATGTAGAACCAGACGTCTTCAACCTCCTCGCTCATCCAAGTGGGCTTTTCATCCCAACACTGACTCATGTGTTCGTTTGTTGAGATTGGCACAGCTTGCTTGGAATCTCTGCTTCCCAAACCTCACAGAGGTGGAGTGGGCGGGACTGCATCAGCGCAGCCTCTTTGCCACAGTCACCCGGGCCATGGATGGGCACCTGAATCAACAAGGCCAGCTACGTTCTCTCCCTACGATTTGGATGGATATTTACTGCAAGAGCACGTAAGGTCATTTTCTGCTATGTATACAGAGAAGCAAGACAATCGGATGTGCAGAGAGAGAAAAGGATGAAGCAAATAGACAAAAGCAAAGATGAGTGACGCTGCGGCTAACGAGAGAAAAAGACACTAAGTGAGCAGCTGCTTTGGGTCCCAATGGATTGTCTAACCCAAGTTCCAGACTTCAGAGGGGCTGGCTGAGTGCTCTGCTGCTTGTACTTGTGATGGTTGTACTTGTACCTGACACAGAAAGTTGCCTTGGACCTGGCCGTATCAGTGCACCAGCTCCTCAAGGAGTGAGTCAAGGAGAGGGAGCCCTGAGCTGTTCTAAGGTTTAAAT